AAATTTCTGAAAACCCGGGGCTCCTGCGTGGCTCAGTCAGTTAAGCGTCTGCCTTCGGCTCAGGTCATGATCCCAGAGTCCTGAGATCAAGCTGACATCAGGCTCCCTGCTCAGCGGGGAGCCTGCTTCTCCCTCTCCCTCTGCTCTTACTGCCCCCCACCCTTGCCATGCTCTCTTTCAAATAAATAGATAAAATCTTTTTAAAAAAGAAAGGAAAAGAGGGAGGGGGGGAGGGATTTCTGAAAACAAAGACCACCAGTTAGGGTGACTTGTTTTGTTTGATGCTCCTACATTTTTTCCAGTTCTTTGAACCAGGTCCCATAAATCATGTTTTCACAGATAGCCTTTCCTATATCTTAAGAAGTAAAAACTGAACCAAAAAGTTTTTCCTTAACATTCCATTTCATTTCTTTCTAAGGGTTGATTTACTAGTTCATAAATAATATGAATTATCATAACATCAGTTATGAGAAATGATGTTATTAATTCAAGGATATTGCATTCTCAGAAATGTTTCAATAAATTTAAAAACACAGAAAAACTTATATAACAGAGACAGATCCAAAGAATAATTCTAAAGGTTCACATAAAAAGGTATTTAACAAATGCTCATTGGACTGCTTTGTGCAAAGTACTATGCTAGGTGGATTATATATACAGATGAATAGTGGTTTTTTCTTCTAAAATTCCTTACCCGTGTAATGGAGCAGGCAGTCATATAAGTATGAATATGGAGGACTGGTGTAGTACCCACCAATTTCTAAAGTTCTGTAGAGCAGTTGACATTATGTTGGTTTGGAGAAGAGAAGCATACTACAGGTTTGTTTTTTAAATCACTCACTAGTGATGGCAGCTAATCCAACTGGTTTATAGAGATGGGAGTAGATCACTAAATGATTTTAATACAGAGGTTTAGCATATAAATAAATCATCTGCTTAATAGCTAACATGTACTGAATGCTTACTAAGTAATCTTAGGACTTTTTTTGTTTATAATCCTCCTTACAGTAATCCTGCAAAATAGGTATTCTTATCTCCAGTTTACAGAACGGTAAACTGAGAGTAAGTCTCATGCCTAAAATCCAATAGTTAAGTATCCTGGGATTCTAAACTGGACCTGACTGGCTACATGATCCCCATCATTCCATTAGGACACTCTGTATCCTTTACTTTAGCCCTCAGTTTCTTATCTGTAAAACAAAAATAATACTTGTACTTACCAGCACAGTGCCTAAAATACAGTAAATACTTAAAAATTATGATAGATACATAGATACATATACTTACACAAATTGAAATTTATTAAGTACCTAGTTTATACCTTCTGTTCATTATCTCACTTAATCTCTTAAACAATCCTGCATGTAGGTATTAGTCCATCTTTTTTTTTTTTTTTTAGATTTTATTTATTTATTAGAGAGAAAGCAAGAGAGAGAGAGCACGAGTTGGGTGGGGGGGCAGAGGGAGAGGGAGGAATAGACTCCCAGCTGGGCAGGGAGCTCAACACGGGGCTCCGTCCCAAGACCCTGGAATTAGGCCCTGAACTGAAGGCAGATGCTTAACCAACTGAGCTACCCAGGCATCCCCAGTATTAGTACATCTTTAAAGATAAATTTGCTCAAGGTAACCAAATGATATGAGGCAGGATTCAAAGTCTGTTTCTCTAGTTATTACCTTTAGGTTATATATTTATATTCTCAAATGATTTAACTTTACTTTCCAGTGATTTTGTATAAACATATAAAGTATGTTAAGCAGATTGTATTTTACTCACATAATTTCCTAATCACCTTCAACTAAAGGACATATATGCATTCATTCCAGTTAAAGAGTGCTTCAAGCACTATTCACTTATGTGACAAGAAGAAAATGGAGTCATCTCTGAACATACCTGTAACTCATGGACCACAGGAGGTAAAAAATTTATGTTGATAAACTCAAAATATGAGAAGAAAATGAAAAATCATTTAGTCTTAATTCCTTCCTTTATATGTGGGAAGCTAAAACCCCAGGAGATTTTAAGATTTATTAGGTAGCCGATGGCAATCTCCATTTCAGACTCCAACACTCCTAATTTTCACCCCACTGTTCATTTCATTGAATCATATATAGTCCTTGCTTCTTTGTTTGCCATTAACTTTAGTCCCTGTAATTGTTTCATATAATGAATGGTGTTCCAATGTGTCCATAGGCAAATCATTGATTACATTTTTACCATTATATTTATGCCTTCTTATTCAAATGTAAACTAGCTATAATACTGCTTTGTCCTTACCTCTTACAATGATTAATGAAAGGCAAAATGCCATTTCTGTGGCTATCTAAAAGGAAAGATTTCTTTAGTAGCATTCATTCATATTTCAAATTAATAATTTCTCCTAAGAATATATAAGACTTGTTTTATATATGTGTTTCTTTAATTTTATAAGGTATAAATTGTAATAGTTTTTATTCTTTTTTATAGTAAACTAAAATCAAGAACTATTCAGAAATTAAAGCTACTTAACTTTAAAATGATTTTCTATTAACCTAAATCATTTATCTTCTATTTACTTTAGGAATCGTGTGGATCCCCTCAACCCCATGAAAGTAGTGATTCTAGTAGAGCCTCAAAGTCCCTGTCAGCATCTCCAGACAATGATTTTTTATCTAGTATGTAAATTTTTCAGTCAGTATTACTTGCATGTTTTCCATTTTTTTTAAGATCATATTATTGGTAAGCAGTCATGGTTTGTATGGAACACAGCTTTCATCTGTAGCCATAACTCATTTTTTAAAAGTGTTAGAATCTTAAGTTGTGAAAATAGTAGTGGAATGTTCCATAAATACATTAAAATATTGAATGCATTGTGTTCAACTTTGTGAAAATATATTTAAAAAAATACTTTCTAAGAGAAGAGAAATGTTTCTGAGTAACCATAGTATGAGATAGAAAGTGATGTATTGTAAAGGAGATACAATGTAGAGCTATGGTAATACACTGGAAAAGTAACATTTTTTATAAAGCATTTCACAACAACCTTGTGAGGGAGATATTCCTCATTTTACAGATTTTTAAAATCAAGACTTCCTGGATCACATAGTTAGTAGCTGGCAAATCCAAGACTTGAAGCCAGGTCTTTTGATAAATATTTTCATGTCACTCCACTACACCATGTTGTCATCATGAAGAAATTGTTTCTGACTGAAGGTTGGACCTATAGTTATAAAGATGGGCATTCCAGGCAAAAGGAACAACATAGAGGCACAGAAGCAAGAAAACACAGAGAACAGTGAGTAGTTGGTTTTAGCTGGTAAAGAGGATGAATGAAAGGAGATAAAAGATCAATAGGGTGGAGTCATATCATCACAAATTCTAACACTTGGCGGAGCTATTTGGGCTTTTTCACTTGGGTAGGGAGCAACTATTGCAGATATTTGAGCAAGGGTGTGACATGATAAAAATTTTTTGCTTTAGGAAGATTTGTCCTGGCTGGAATATGTATTGGAAGGAAAAGGAGAATGCAGATGGGGAAACCAATTAGTAGACTGTTAGTCTGTTACTGTAATATACATGAGAGGTTATGAGACCTGATCCAGAATACAAGAAGGGAGAAATGATGAGAGAAATGTTATGGAGGACACACTGAAGGAGTTTATAGAATTCTACTTGTAGGAAGGAAGAGAGAAAAAAAGAGCGAACAAGTTGTCAAGCCTGATGACTGGGAGAACATTGATGCTATTAACAGAAATAGTTGAAATAGGTTTTAGAGTTAGATGAATAATTAAGTTTTTAATTTTTTTTTCAAATTTGAGGTGCTTAGCAGTGCATATGAGGTTGATGTCTAGTGGACTGTTGAAAATGTAAGACTAAGGCTCAGTGAAGACAGGAAATTTAATTATATAGATTTTGGAAGAGAGGTGACAGTTGAGACCCTGAGGTTGAATAGGATTACCGAGGAAGAGTGTAGAAAGACACATATCATAAATAGATTTAGAAGACACATTTAAAGTACAGAAGAAGAAGAAGACACAGAAGAAATATGGGATTATGTGAAGAAGTAAAATTTCATGATTTATAGTTTATATAAAACAGACAAGCACAGACAGAAGTGTGGTAAAAACATTCATTATAAACGCATTTTTGTTCTAAAATATATTTACTTGTGGAATTAGGTTTATGAACCAGCTTTAATAACAGTGAAAATTTAAACACATTGAATACTATCCTCTGTGTGACCCAAATGTTGATATTTTAGCTAATAGGAATAGCTAAGGACTATCCTACCCCTAATGAAGATACTGTGTTTTGTAGGAAAAACTCAAGACTTCTCTACGCTGTGTCACTATCCAGTAAATCACAGTTGCAATAGTAACATTTCTGCAGCTCAAAAGGGGACATTTTGTGATTACAAGACCACCCTATGCTCTTTAACAGTAATAAATCCACTCCCAGCTGAGGGAAACTCAGGTAAATATTTAGCACTTTGTAAATGATGCTGTTTATCTCGCAACTATATGTTCAGTATATTTGCCATGCAATAAGTTTTATTTGTCTTTATTTCTTCAACATGATAAATATATACCTTCTTAAGTAGGAAAGTACTTCCAATCCTAGGAGATAAGAGTGCTAACATGTAATACTAGGCCCACATGGTATTCCATGAACATCTAACATCTATGTAGGGAGGGAGTGCTAAAAGGAGGTGTGACTTAATATGTTACTAAAGGTAAAGTTATTTTTGTTTATTTAAAAAATATGCAGATATCCTTTATATTAAAAAATATATATCTATAAGATAGATTGGGTTTTGCCCCCGTGGATTTATAGTATATAAAAAGGCTTTTTCTGGGAAGGGAACTGGAGTGTTTCCTGAAAATTAGCAGCATCCTCCAAAATACTTGTATCCATATTAGCGTAATCGTAGAAAATTAGGGGTTTTATTCCTTATTACTTCTTTGTTCATCCAGTGTTACTCATAGCTGTTTACTTGTCCTCACTCATCTGTCCTGCCTTGCTCTTCTGCAGCGCGACCACAGCCTGGCATAGCCCAACAGTGGATCCAGAGTAAAAGGGAAGACATTGTGAGCCAGATGACAGAAGCTTGCCTTAACCAGTCACTAGACGCTCTTCTGTCCAGGGACTTGATCATGAAGGAGGACTATGAACTCATTAGTACCAAACCTACAAGGACCTCAAAAGTCAGACAGTTACTGGACACCACTGACATCCAAGGAGAAGAATTTGCCAAAGTTATAGTACAGAAGTTGAAAGATAACAAGCAAATGGGTCTTCAGCCTTACCCAGAAATACTTGTGGTTTCTCGATCACAATCTTTAAATTTATTTCAAAATAAAAGCTTATAAGGGACTCTTTTTCAAGAAGAAAAGTCATTCTATAAAAGGGTATTTTATATTTCTCTTGCCTTTATCTTATTGGCTTTATAAAATCCACATGAGTATTAGAAGCGTTAATGAAGTTTCTTCTTCAGGTAAATATTAGTCTTCTTCCATGACATTATAGTATTTTTTAAAATTAATATATTAGAAAGTCTGCATTTTGCTACAGAATTCAATTGTTTGTCTCTTTGGTTAATTGAAATTATTTTTTAAATGTAATAATTATATTCTTGTATATAACAATGTCTTAAGGTATGATGCATTTCTCATGGAAGCCATTTTCATATTCATTTTCTTTGTGGGTTATTTATTACTTGTCTAAGATGCAGTTTGGCTTTTGGAAATGTAGCCTTTATACTTAAATTAGAGCTAGTACAGCATTTCTAACCTATAGTGCCAGGTTCAAATCCTCACCAAAAGGTTGTTCATTAAACTTTGTTATCCAGATTACATTTTTAAATCCTATTCATTGAATTCTTCTTTAAAAAAAAATGTTTCAAAGGTAAAATGACACAAAGTCTATGAAGAAAAAATTAATCTTTCAATATATGTTTCTACCCTCATTTCTAACCTCAACTAGCAACCAAGGTAACCAAAAATTAACAGCACACTGTTTATCCTTCTATACCCTTCTCCCTACTCGTATGTATACATTCATGTGGGAAAGGGTCTTTCATTAATATTATTATAATACATCATATTACAACCTAATTTTTGCACTCAATAGTACATCATGTGCAGCCTTCCAGATCATGAATAAATCTAACTCATTCTTTTTAATTGCTGCATAATGTCAAGGCTGCTTTTTTATTTTTTTAACTTATTCACCAAGTTTAGCCAAAACAATATAGTGTGAGTAATTTTTTTAATAGCTTATGTCACTAAGTGAAAATTTACAAGGCATAATCCCCCTTCTGAAAATGTTTATTAATAATGTCAGCAAAAAGTATGATGCAGGATAAATTCTAAACAAACTTTCAAGAAGCACCAGATGCACAGTATGAAAAAAGGAGAAGGAGATTGGGGCAATTAAATATTTTATTAAAATTGTAAAATAAGTATTTTAATCTCCATTTGGAGCTTGACATTAACCTGTGGCACCTTATTACTCTGTCTCTGAGAAATACGGAAATTAGTAGGGAAAAATAGAAACCAATTAAGTATATGAGTGATCTATTATATCTCTTATTTTTAAGGTGTTAGGATAAAGATTTAACTTGAGAAATAAGTTGAGAAGATGGGATTGTTTTAGGTTGTACATAGACACAGCACTAAATAACATTTAAGTCAAATAGTAAGGAAGTTCTTTTCAGTTCTTCCTTGAGCCTTCTAATTAAGTAAAGGAGAATGTCACAATCATGCTGTCATCTTTTAATCCCCCTTGTTAAGAAAAAGAAGAGGCTTCAGAACTTCAGAAACAATATTTAGCGGGCGCCTGTGTGGCTCAGTCATTAAGCATCTGCCTTTGGCTCAGGTCACAATCCCAGGGTCCTGGGATCAAGTCCCACATCAGGCTCCTTGCTCAGTGGGAAGCCTGCTTCTCCCTCTCCCACTCCCCTTCCCCCCTGCTTGTTCTCTTTCTCTCTCTCAAATAAATAAATAAAATTCTTTAAAAAAATATTTAGCAAGAATTTTGTAGTTTTTTAAATTGTATTTTATTTGAAAATGACCTACATATGACAAGTGGTACTGATTTTGTATTTATAATATTTCATTTTATAATATTCAAATAAAAAGACAAGCAGAAATACTAAATTGTGATATAGGTAGTACATGAGTGTGACAGCAAAACATAGAAGTAGTGGAATGATGACATTAAGATTGTCACTCAAGGAAGGGACCTAATAATCTATAATTATCCGGGTTTTTTTAACTAGATAGTACTAGATGATCTGAAAATGTCATTCTTTGCAGTGTATTTTAAAAGAGTTTTACCCATAAGTGTAGTCCACAGAGCAGCTGCATTAACATCACCTGGAGCTTATGAGAAATGCAGCCTCATGGCCCCTATCTCAAACCTGAATCAATCCCAGGTAGGAAGGTTTAGAAATCTGTTTTAACAAACCATCCAGGCCATTATGTGTGCTAAAGTTTGAGACTCTGGGTTTTTTTGTTTGCTTTTTTTACTGTGATTTTTTTTTTTTTTTTTTGAGTTGACACCTTGGCCTTTTTTTTTTTTTTTTTTATGTTATGTTAGTCACCATACAGTACTTCATTAGTTTTTGATGTAGTGTTCCATGATGAAGGGGGGGGGAATTAGAGGGGAAGATGAACCATGAGAGACTATGGACTCTGGGGAAACAAACTGAGGGTTTCAGAGGGGAGGGGGTTGGGGGGATGGGTTGACCAGTGATGGGTATTAAGGAGGGCACGTACTGCATGGAGCACAGGGTGTTACACGCAAACAGTGAGACTCTTTAAGAAGTGCAATAGAATTATGCATAAAATAATTTCCCTTTCGTTTCACAAATCTGTTTTCCTTATGTCCATTTGCCACATTTGTCTTCAGGATATATAGTCTCAGAACTGAGGTTTGATTAGTAAATTTAACTTTTTTTTTTTTTTGCATCCACTTGAATTCCCAAAACAATTACAGACATGTTTTACATTTTGAAAAAATCATTTAAACATGATAATCTGATCAGTAGATTGAATCTACCACTCAGCTTTTTAAAGAAGTACTTAAGAACGGGACAAACACTCAAATTATGACAGCAGAAGAGCAGAGCTGATGTGGGACAAGACAAGAAGCAAGAATAAATTTGCTGAAAGTTATACTAAAGAAATTGACATCACTATGAAAGACTGGGGTGTGGCGGTGGCAATATCCAGCAGTGGGGGCTGGTTTTTATGTTCTTCCTCTGTCATTAATTCTCTGCTCACCCTCCCCCACCCCAAATACTCAATTTCCTAATTTATGAAGAAAAATTATCAATTGGGGGAACAGAAGAATCAGTAATCTTTCATGTTAAGCCATCCTCACAAACATGTCATTGGCTTCAGAAATGTGTTTCTTCTCTACAATCTCCACTCCCATCTCTCAGAGCCCAGTTCCCAATCTCCTGCTTTTCCACCCCTTCTCCCCTGGACCCTTCCTTTTTTTCTTTTCAATGTCAAACACCCAGATTTCTTTTAAAAACAAAATTCCTTTGCTTGACTTGTCTGTACCTTCTCATCCTTTTCCTGGAAAATTATGCTGCCTTTACTCTTGTTGCCAATTTCATCCTTAATCTTTTAAAATTTTTAAAGGGACACTCAGGTGGCTCAGTCAGTTAAGCATCCAACTTGATTTCAGCTCAGGTCATGATCTGAGAGTCCTGGAATCAAGCCCTGCATCAGGCTCCAAGCCTGGCAAGGAGTCTGCTTGAAGATTCTCTCTTTCTCTCTCCCTCTGCCACCCCCCTGCTCTCTCTCTCTCTAAAATAAATTAGTAAATATTTAGAGAGAGAGAGAAAGCACAAGCAGGGGGAGGAGCAGAGGAAAAAAATCCTCAAGCAGACTCCCTGACCAGCTCAGAGCCTGATGCAGGGCTCAATTCCAGGACTCTGAGATCATAACCGATCCAAAATCAAGAGCTGAATGCTTAACTGACTGAGCCACCCAGGTGTCCCTAATCTTTTAAGTTGTTTTTTTTTTTAAGATTTTATTTTTATTTTTGTGAGAGAGAGAGAGAGAATGTGCATGCATGAGCAGGGGAGAGGGGCAGAGGGAGAAGCAGACTCCCCACTGAGCAGGGAGCCTGATGTGGGACTCGATCCCAGGACCCTGGAATCATAACCTGAGCCAAAGGCAGACACTCAACAGACTGAGCCACCCAGGCGCCCCACTTTTAAAATTTGATGTCATAGAATTAATGAATCTCTAGGTTGAAAGGAATAATTACACATGGTTATGCCTCAAATTCCTCAAATAAAGACATTAGATATACAAATATCTCAGGATCAAAAACTTCTATTGATGTTGGAGGAGCCTATTACCTATTCAGGTCATGTTCTTCATGTCTAGACAGTTCTGTCAGTTCTTTCCTACATTGATTTAAAAATCTATTTCCCTAGTGTATGTATCTATCGGTCCTGGTTCCAAACATTGGGATAGTCTATATAGAGTACATCTATTCCCTCCCCCACATGACAGCCCTTTATAATATTTCCAGATAACTTCTATTCCTGAGGACTTTTGTTTTTACATTGAAATAATCCCTTCTTCCTTCAGTTGCTATTTAAGAGGTATGTTCTGTATTTCTTTGAAAGTATGGTACCTATAACTGCATGTGATAACTTTTAATCCATTTAGGTCTTGTCAGCACAGTTGGGATATCTCTTCTCTTGAAAGTAATATATTAAAAGCCTATTTTTTAACAATGACATGACATTGCTTAGTTGATATTTAACTAAAATGAGCTAAAAATCCTCTCTCTTTTGTAACTATGCTGTTTTGCCTTATCTCTCCTTTTTTATACTCTAAGTTGGGTTAGGTTTTTAGTCCATATATAACACTATGCCTTTATCCCTCTTAATTTTTCTAAAATTTTTCTAAATTCATTCTAGTTCCAGCAGTGCACTCAGTATGGTTTTGATTCCTAAATCTGGCATCTCCCAGCTTGTCATCCACAAACTTGACAAAGTTTCCTTTTGTAATTTCATCCAAGTTACTAATTAAAATTTTGAATGGTACTGGGCTAAGGAAAAGTCTGCAAAATGCTACAGGCTTGCTCCCTTCAACATGACAAATCTCAACTAATCATCACTCTTAAGGTACAACCATGTACCTATTCACTAATGAATATAACTGAAATATTCTTAAAGTGTTACACGATATCATAAAAGACTATGTAATCTACAAGTTTAACCAAATAATCTCTATTTCCAGGTCAGTTTTTAAAGCATTGGCTTATTTTTTCATCCAAAATGTGTGTTTCAATGTAAGTACACTTTTCTTAGGGGTTTGGGGGCTGAGTACATTAAAATATTAAAAAGGAACATGTCACCTGTCCTTACATAGAAAAAATATGGTATTGCTCAGGCTCTGCTTAAGAAGTCTAGATGCAAGGCACTGTGTCCACCAAAATCTCATGATTTAAGGATACCAGCTGTATAAAGAATCCCCAAATTAAACATCTGAAGAAAAAAAAAAAACTAAGAAAATTAAAGATTACACAGAAAACAACTTTAAAATAAGTATAAATAAATACCCTTAGAGATTTGAGTGGATATATCTTTAAAATTACAAGTTGCTATGAAATAGAAACAAACATCTAGAAAAAGTTCAAACTATGTGCCTCAAAATAATAACCCAGAAGTTGTTTATTCATTTTTTTAAAGATTTTTATTTATTTGAGAGAAAGAGAGCATGCATGCATGAGTGGGGCAGGAGGTGGGGGGTGGGGGGGGAAAGGAGAGGGAGAAGCAGACTCCCCACTGAGCAGGGAGCTGGACACAGGGCTCCATTCC